GTTTAGGACACACTGTCAAGGCATATCAGAAAAAGTCTTGCCCAAATCGGCTCCACAAACTCCGCACTCAAAAAAAGAGGCAAAGCCGGGCGGCAGAAGACCCTTAATTAAACCAAAAGCTCCTGAAATCATATCACTGGAAGGGTCCATCCTCCGAAAGAACCCTTGCAGAACCCTCACAGAATGCTTAAACAACCCTTAAAGGAACCCCTTTACGAAACCCCTACGAAGTCCTTGAAGAATCCAACCACCCTGAAAGGAACCCTGATAGATCCCTTAACGGGTCCCTTAACGGAAGCTGTATAGATCCCTTAAAGGGTCCCTTAAATATTAAAGGAACCCTTAAAGATCCCTCACAAGGAAAGACCAGCACGAAATATTCCAGGGTGGAGACTGGTGTGAGTGTCACCTGTCAGCATCGCAAAGTCTGTTCCAGAGACAGAAACAACAAATCACGCTGTTCATGTGCCTAGATGTGACAACTTTGGTTTAGAATGTAACACTGGGTTGTAGTTTTGGGGCTCTGAAAAGTATTTATGAAGAGGTGCCTCTACAGGAACCATAAGGGAAAATTAAAAAGTTTCCCAAACTGCCACCTAGAACAAAACTTTTCTCTTCTGCGTCGCCTGCAAGCTTGCCTCCCTCAGCGCCCTGCGTGGAAGGGTGCGGAGACGGCGGGCGTCCGCTCTGGAGCCACCTCTTCGACTGGGCACTTTACGATGCCATGATTTAGGGTTCCTCTAAGGGATCTATAGGGTTTAGGGTTCAGGGTTCTTGTGAAGGAGTTTGACTTAAGTTACCAGAATAGGGATCTGCAGAAAACAGTCTGGTTTCCTTATTATGGTAGCTTAGATGATGAACCCCTTAACAAAAACCCAGCCTCTTCAAGGGCACTTTGGATTCAGGGTTTCGGCCACACTCGGACAAGCCAGGCAATTTTGAGGTAGGACCTAGGGCAAGGAAGTTTGCGGGCTTTTGTGGGGTGTTCGGGCAAACGACTTCGGGCTTAGAGGTCTATGGGGTTGAGGATTCCAGACTTTCGGGCTTTAAACCTTTAGGCCCCTTTAACACTCAGCCTGAATGAAAGCTTCGATATCTTCGATGGGGGCTTCGGGGCGTCAGACAACGGTAACAACTCCAAGGCGACGTTCATGCCATATCCCGAGATGCCGAGCGCCTGCGAAGGTACCCCTGGAGGCAAGCGTGGCAGGCCTGCACTGAGCTTGCAGATCTAGGACCACATCCCAGGCTCATGGAGAAGCAGAATCCCAACCCCAAGCCCACTTTCCAAACCTGCTCACCTCCCCAAAGCCGAGGGCAAAAGCTGACGAATTGCAGCCATCGCCGTCTCTGCGCGCACCCGACGCAGGGCCCAATCCTGTGAAGTTGCACTGCTATGCTTGGAGGCATGTATGCCACAGACCCTACTGTCGCTTCGATGGCTTGGGGTTGAAGACCTACGAAACGGCTGAAGCCCGACCCTAGATTGAATGCCGCTGCTCTCGACCCCACCTTGGGCTCTAAAGGTGCACGGTGCTCTGGCGCCTGACCTTGTGGACTCAGGAGACAGACAGCCGCAAAAGTAGCAATTGCAATTGTAAAAACAATAGCAATAGCAGGCAATAGCAATAGCAAGAGGAATAGCAACAGCCATAGTACTAGAAATAATGACTTCCCTCTCGCTCTGCCACAGCTGCTAGAAATAGTGATAGTAACGGTAATAGTGATAGCAATTGTTGACACCCACATGGCACGCCAATGACAGCTCCGCGGGGACTTAAATGCTAACTACTCACAATGGATCCCCAGAAAAAGCAACAACAGGAGAACCACAATGCATATCCCGATATAAGATGAAAGGAAGAAAGTACCAAGGCTCCGTCGATCTGCCCACTACTTTGTCGGACTACAATCTCCCAATATCAATATCAATGATAGCCATAGTACTGGTAAGAGTAATTGCAGCAGCAGTAGCAGTAGCAGTAGCAGTAGCAGCAGCAGCAGCAGCAGTAGCAGTGGCGATGGCGATAGCTTTAGCGACAACGATAGCAACAGCAGGAGCAGGAGCAGCAGGGGTAGCAGTAGCGATAGCAGTGGCAATAGCAGTAGGACTAGGACTAGGAGTAGGAGTAGAGGCGGAGGCGGAGCAGGAGTAGGAGGCGTAGGAGGAGTAGGAGCAGGAGTAGGAGCAGGGTGGTCGTGGTTGTGGTAGCAGCAGCGGCAGAAGTAACAGCGGGAGCAGGACGCAAGAGGCAGGAGGTAGTAGTATAGCAGCTAGTAGTTTGTAGCCAGTATCTAGGATAGTAGCTAGTATACACCCTTAGCAAAACACTGCAGAATCAAACAGTCTCTACAACGTAGAATTTAATCTGTCCAACTGAATCATGTATATTTTCATCATAAGGCAGATATCAGATGACATATCTACGTTACAAAGCACCCTACCACAATTTCGCCCACTTCACACCATCAAGCTATCTAAGATACTTCCGCGAAGCTTCAGGACTGAAGCATACATGCGATGCTACTGATGCAACCCTTCTTCATCCGTCTTGTCACTGGTCCGTTTCGTGAATGGAAAGCCAAGTTCCTGACATCTGCATCTAAACTGCCTGGACTACACCTGCCAACCTTGCAGGATCTGTACTTGGAGGTTCATGGGTAGTTATAAGTGGGGATATAAGTCGCCTGATAGGAGCTATAATTGTCGTTACCTTACTCAGAACCCCACTTATAACTACCCATTAACCCCAAGTAGTGAGTGCTTACAGCCGGCTTGGCCAGCTGCAATCTGCGCGGCGAGTGAAGTGGTAGAGCTCCGAGCCTGGGTGCTTCTCAAAACTTCGAAGCTAGGGTTTCGGCTTTGGGGGGTACTTGGAGGTTCATGGGTAGTTATAAGTGGGGTTCTAAGTAAGGTAACTATAACTATAACTCCTGTTAAGCGCACTTACAACTACCCATGAACCTCGAAGTAGGCCCCAAACCTTTTACCCTTATAGAATCCCTATAGATCTCTTCAAACTGGGCCCTTGCTTAAGACTTAAAGCCGGAAGGAAAGGAACAAAAAAAAAAACGAAACCCATCCCAGCCCTCCCCACCCCACAGAAAGGACCATGACTCCCCCGCATGGACCCTGAAAGCCCCCAAACCCAGGATGATGCCAACAAAAAAGCGGAGTTTAGTTCACCAAGTCGGCACGTGGATTACATGATAAATCATGGTAAGTTCTATCGACTTCGTTCTGTTATCCTTCAGAACATGCCAGGCACTCCAAAACCTAGATACAACGGAAACTCTCCATTGTCGATGTCACTATGACGGTATCAAAAAGATGCTTGCCTGAAGCAGGCGGGTTTCGGGCTGAAGGTCCGACTTCCCTCTGTTCCCGTGTTCATGCGAGGCATCTCGACAATCTCCTCTAAGGGTGCAGCCGTCGGTACATCTCCAGCTTTGCCGAGCCGGCGGCTGGCGCAGGCTCGGCAAGAAACGAATTCTTTGGGCCAGAAGGTGGCCCCAAAACTTAGACTCCAAGGGGAAAAGGAGGGACCCTTAATGGGGACCCCTCCCCCATAATGGGCTATATCATGGGTATATGAAACAGCTATATTAAGGGTAAAGGACCTAGGGGTCCTTATTAAGGGTCCCTCCTTTCACCCTTGGACAGACAGTCCGAGGCAAGGAGCCCCTCTGTGTAGAAGCCCCGCTCTGCCACGCTAGGTAGCTGTCGCGAACTGACAAAAGGAGTGCACTGCTCATGGGTGGCTGTCAAAATTAGGGCCCCTTTTTGGGCACCCTAAATATTAGGTGCCGTACTATATTAGGGAGCCAAAAAGGGACCCTAATTTTGACAACCACCCTAATAAAAATCGGGGCTTGTAAACTTCCGCTGTGAATCCCCATGCTGTACTGCTGATGCTTGTTGCGGCTGTTGGGGCTGGTGCTGATTGTGGTGACGGTGGTGATTGCGGTGATCGCGGTGATGGTGGTGATGGTGGCGATAGTGAAGCAAGCAATGATTAGCGATGATGCTGATGGCGATGACACTGGTTGTCTTTTGGCTGGTGCCGCTCCTGTTGAGGGCTGCCGTGTCGTCGTTGGCATTTCGTCCCTGCGCGGAATCTACGTGGGTCGTTCATCAAGGCTGGGATATGACGAGCCTGTCTACCAGCAGGGGAATTCTCAACGCAGTCTCTCAAGCTTTCATTCCCACACAAACACGGCATCAGCCCGTTTCGGCCAATGCGAAGGGAAAATCCTTTGGAACAAGGTGGCATGAACTACCAGGTCCTGGCCGCTATGCTCTTATGCTCTGTGGCCTAGCAACCTGGGCCACCAAGGAAATGCATGCATCTTCGCGTGGGTTCGAGCAACAGAAAATCGGCTGACAACGTGTACAGGAAGGAGAATCCCAGCACGGTTGCCATCATGATTGCAAAGGATGGCCGACGCGACCATTCCTCCGGCTCGCAGAACTGTGGTTACAGATGCATGTAACAGAATCTTTTGAAAATGGCTACTGGGTAGTGACCAAGCACAGGTCACATTGAGGTTTGTGGAATGCAGACGAGCCACAGGCGAAAAATTGGATTACTAGTAAGTGTGGCGAAGGAAGAAACCTTTAGCATTCTTGTTGCGACTGTTTTTTCTAATAATCTTGCGATTATTGCTACAGCTGTGGAATATGAAACTAGAACCCGTGCTGTTGCTATTACTATACTACTGCTTCTCTGCCTATTACTACTACTTCTGCTGCTGCTGCTGCGCTCTGCTCTGCCCTGCTCCTGCTCCAGCTCTTGCTCCTGCTCCTTCTCCTCCCCCTGCTGCTGTTCCTGCTGCTACTGCTGCTGGTACCGCTGCTGCCACTTAGCGACAGCTGGTAGAGCTGCGAGAACTTCATATAATGTAGGAACCTGATTACTAAACCCTGGGCCTATAACCCCAAAACACTAGGATTCATATAAGGAACCCTAATAAAGGCCCAAGGTTTCTTAATCAGGTTCCTACATTAGCTCACAACTTACAGCCATGGAAGTCCGAAGATGCAGCCCTGGCTCCTGCTTTCTTGCTTGCGCCTGCTTCTTCTGGGCCGGCGCCAGGGGGAGCAGTGCGAGAGATGCAAAGCTGAAGGTGTAGGCGACGAGGTAGGAATAGGCCACCGTCCACCGAAAGGAGACCGCATCTTCGATGAAGTTCTCTCGAAGTGTCAGAGCTGGCGTGAAGGAGGAGAACAGCTGGTTCGACACAACCATGCCGAAAGGGATCCCAACGAAATAGACCGACTGAAGCATGCCAGCAACCATGGCACCGTTGTCGTCGTCTGCCAATTCGTTCGCCATCAAGACCTGAGCTTAGTGACAAGGAGTATTCAGAGCATATCCAAGCACTTGCCCACAACAGCAAGAGCTGCTGCACAAAGCACTCCCCAACGCAGGCTTCCCAGTGTTGTCCCATCTCCAGAACAGCTCCACAAACCTCTAGACAGTTGTTCAAGGCATTCATAGATTGGGGGAGAAATTCAGCTGAAGAGCCGTGATGAGCTGATTCGTTGCAGTCGGAACCGCACGGGAGATGGGCTCGCCGAGGTAGAAGTAGGGATCCCGCACGATGTCAAAGACCGTCAGCAGCGAAGGGATACCTGGGCCGGAGTATCCCACTTCTTGGCAATCGGGGCTTAAGAGTTTAGGAGCTTCGGGTTTAGGGTTTAGGAGCTTAGGGATCAGGATCCGGGACTGCAGCTACTCGGAGAACTGTCTGAGTGGTCCCAGAGGCTGTCCGTGGCAGTGGCGACGGAGCTTGTGACGAAGATTATCTTCCTCCAGCTCACGTTTAGCAAGTATCTCCGCATCAGGTAACTGGCCGCAAGGGAGATCAAGAGTGAAAGAGCATTGCTCATCTGAATCTGAATGCCCCTCACTTTGGCCCACTCCATCATCACCCACACTTCGGCAGTCGAGCTCATATGGCCGAGAGACGTCCGAAAGAAGACGAAAATCCCCACGAACAAGAAAGCCTTACTCTGGGTCAGGTTCCAGACCGAGGACATCTGTACCCTGAAGGACGATCTCACGGCCTTGTTTTCCCGCACGAGGAACAAGGAACAGACAGATGTCACCGCCACACACGTAAGGTAGATGCCCATCAGCTGCTGGAAGTTGAGCTGCCTGGACTGGTCAAAGCTGCCGTTAAACATTCTGCCATTGAAGCCAAAGGCAGATAGGAGCACGGCGGTGAGGTGGCCGCTGAGTTTCACCATTTGCAGCACTATCTGCGTCCGGCCCCTTGTCTCCACTTCCTCCTGCTTTGCATACTCCACGAGTAGTCCGTTTGCTGCAGCACCGGCCGTCACCGCTCCCACACACGAGCAGAAGAGACAGAGAACCAAGGGAACAAAATGGTCTGCTGCCTCGGGGTTGCAAGGAGGCATCTGGTAGAGGTACTGGCCGTTCTCGAAGCAGTAGTATGGAGCAGGCAAACCACGGTAGACAAGACAGAGGGTGCTGAGAGTGCACAGGAACCAGCCACCTGCGATGTAAGGACGGCGCCGGAAGCCGAAGATTGGTCTCGAGTCGGACAGCATCCCAAGAACTGCGGAAAAGGTGAATGGAAGAATCGCCAAGTTGGCACAGCCCTTTATGATATTGCCTGGGTTCTTGTTATGGGCAACAGTTTCAGGTACTGTACCACAATCAGGAAACCATACTTCTTACTATAGATCCAGTTGCTTGGCAGGTTGAGATAGCCACCCAGGACCGAATGCCAGAGGTCCGTCCAGCCTCCGCCCACGAAGCCATCGCAAAAGAAGTGGAGGACAAGGCCCCAGTTCCTGGGCTGTTGCTACGTAAGGGATTTAGCTCATGTTACCATAAAAGGGATCTATTAAGGGCTCCTTCAAGCGGTTACGGTTTACGGTTCAAGTTACCATGATACGGACCTAAAGTAGCTAATATGGTTTCCTTATCATGGCAACTAAAATTTAATTCCTTAACAAGAACCCAGGTTCCCTATGTCGGACAACGCAAAATGCAGCTTCCCCTCCACCGCCTTATGAACGGAGCCTTTCTCCAAGGCATCCGCACTGGGCTCCTCACAGCCCTCTGCGTTTTTCTCCGGGAGAGGCATCGGGACCATGGCAAAACCGCCCGGAACTCGTCACGGGTGGCGCAAAACTCGAAGTCTACAATGCCAGAGCTGCACGCCGAGGCAAGGACAGTCACAGTGCGGTAAAACATGAATCCCAAAAGTGTCGCCGCTTCCCGTTCCTAAACCGACCACCAAACCCTTCAACTAATATAGGTCTTTAAGATGCAGAATGGGGTCTTGGTGGTATATTGTACTATATATATATATATATGATAAGGGACCCCAAAACGTATTGGTAATTACTCAGGCCCCTACATACAGTGAAGACAGAGAAAAAGAGCCGAGGAGCATAAGCTCTGCATCACCTCCCCGGTCTTGCTGCCTGGGTTCCCGACAACCGTGCTGAACAAGGCTTAATTGTAGGTAAAAAGATATGGTCTTGGTGTCTATGGTCGCAATATATATATATATATATATATATATATATATATATTGTGTATATATATATATATATATATATATATATGTATGTATGTATGTGTATGTATATTTATATAAATATGCAGGATGATCATAGAGGCCTGTACATTCAGCTGCTCGTTTTGCTAATGTTAACCCGATTCAGGGTTTGGGATCAAGGATTTCAATTTGGAGATGTTGTTAGGCTTCCGGGTCTTAACGTTTGGGGTCTACTCCACGTTCAACACAGCAATGCCGGTGTGCTTGAGGCTTGACACTCAACGAGAGCTTGGGTTTTGGACCGGGTGCCTCAGAACGCACAGAGGAACACCTCATGCGGCAAGATGCGAGATTGAACTGTGCGAGAAGCTAGCTTGCCGTGATGGTGAAGATGCGACTCCTGTAAACGATAGAACCGACTAAAACCCTGTACAACCCTTAGAAATAAAGGCCCATGTATGGGCTTCCGACAAACAGGGCCCTAAACCCTTAGAAACATAATTTTCGGAACTTAGTGCCCTTATAATACCCTTATAGTAGCACTTTAGAGGAAGCCTTTATAATGAAATTTAGTCTCTTCTTGGACATCCCCCCATAAGAGCCCGGGAGCCCACGACCACGCCGTACACCCGAGCTCCTGCAGCGAGCCGTTCAGTTGTGTCTTGGGGCTCTGAAAGCATAATACCCTATAACAATGTAAAGCGGTATCACATAATTTGACATAATGTACTATGATATATAAGAATGAAATGGAGTGTAAAAGCATATGACATTGTACAAGAAAGTTCAATATGAGACAATTCAGCCTAATGTGATATATAACGCTCCGGGCATGCATGTGGCAACGCTTACGGTCTGGTGTGGATGCTCTGCAGCAACGCATAAGGCCTGGGTGCATGTAAACATGGTTGGCACATGGATGCTCTGTGTGGACGGATGGGGTCGGACTGGACGTGAATTAACATGATCGGCACATGGGTGCAATTAGGCAACGCATTAAGTCAAGGTGGACGTAACATGCTTGGCACTTGGATGCTGTGCGGCGACACATCAGGTCTGGGTGGAAATCAACCAGGCTTGCACATGGATTCTGCGCGGCAACGATTTCGCTTGGGCGAACTTCAACATGGTTGGCACATGGTTGCTGTATGGCAACACATAAACAGAAACACATAAGGTTCGGGTGGACGTTATCACGGTTCGGGCACGGATGCTCTGCGAGAACGGAAAGATGCAGCGACCCCCCACCGACTTGACCTGGGCACGTGATGAAGAGGACGCTACTTTAGGGTTTAGGGGTTTCGGGTTTAGGGTTATTGTATGGACCTTCTGAAACTCGATGATTACGAAGTTGTGCTCGCAGCAGCAAAACCTTCGGTGACAGTGATAGCAACATTTTGGCACATACAGGGCGGAGGAGGAGCTGGACGAGGAGGAAGGCAGCATGAGCTGCGCGGGTATGGAAAGAAATATTCAAACACTATCCACCGAATCACCTGCACATCGAAACCCATACCTTGTTGTTTCAAACTATCCGACCCACCTGCTCCCTTATCCCGGGATAAACAACTGACTGACACTGCGAGAAAGATTCACAGTACTTTCGGCAACGCGGCGCCAGCCAGCAGCTAGCTTCACCACAGAGCATTATATCCGTTTCATCAGTCGGAACCCTCAAAGATACGCCCTCACAAGACACAGCGTGAAAACGAGCAACATCAGCTACCACCCCGCACGTTGTGGAAGTATGTGTAGCAACACAAGACGAGCACAATGCAGCCGAAAGCGCCGAACTCCGCACGCGCCTCGCCTAGCGCTCCCAACCTTGGCTTATGACAGGTACAGGTCTGCAAGGATTCATCTGGCTTTCGGTGGCGTCGGCTTCAGAGTTTCGGTGTCAGCTTTCTGGGATTTGGGGTTTGGGGCCTGCGCTTACCGATTCTCAGATTCATCGGTTGGCCTGTGGCTGGGAAAGCGGGAGGGCGTCTACAAAAGCGAGGATGCGCAGCAGCGCGCAACTCAGAGTGCACGGTGGACAGAAGTTGTGGGGGGCTTGGGAGGGCAGGATCGGGAGTTTCGAGGTCGGTGAACAAGGACATCATAGGTGCAAGGGTAGATGCGCTCCCATCTTCCTACAATCAAATGCTAAAGAGAAGTCGAAGCCATAGGTGCGCAACAGAGCTAATCAAACAAAGCTGACATCCGAAACCTCTCTGCATCACACTCGAAACTAGCTTAGCGACTGCATTCGCCCGACAGGAGGCCTTACCACAGGCCTCGTGCCTTTGCACAGTGGACGATAGGCCGAGAGTTAGCACCCTACATCCGAATCTGACTTAAAACTGGAATACAACCCTAGCCACGCTTTGTCAAGCCTCAAATAAACCCCATGTATTTTGCCTCCTGCATGGCTTGGTTAAACCCCATGTATGGGAGTTAGGATTCAGGAAGGGTACCACCTACCTGGAGGTTCATGGGTAAGAAGGGTTATAAGTAGGGTACCTAAAGTTATGAGCCCTATTCTGGGACTTAGAACCCTTCTTATAACTACCCGTTAAGGGTCTCCCAAAGTTTTAAGCCCTATGATGGGACTTCGAACCCTTTTTATAACTACCCGTTAAGGGGTCTCCCTACTACGACCTAGGAATGTAACCCACCGAACCTGCGGAGCCCAGTTCAGGCGGAGCCGCACGCCCTCGGTGGGCCGCGGGACCTCACCATCCTCAAAGGCAGCTTGCAGTGGATGTCATCATTACTACTATTATTGTTACGATTAAGACTACTGAATACTGTTATTATTCTTACTACTGTTGCTATGGACGGGCGGAGGGATCTGTTGTGCCGTGAGGGTTGAGACTTTCTGGGCTTTTGGGGCTCGCCCTTGGTGCAGTGGAGAACACTGAACTGGACATCAAAAGTGCAAAGTTAAGCGATTGCCAAATCTATCCGAATGTCGCTGCTGGTGTTGTTCTTCCTCCGTCCTGTCTAACTTGAACACTAATTGGATGACCGGGCGCCGTAACCAGCAGAAGGTCGGCATTCTGCCACTGCTGGGAGCTGCCCAATCGCTCGACACTGGCGAGGAGGACCTCTGGCTTTGAACAGAATGGAACTGGTTCAAGTCTGGGCTGTAGGTGCCCAAGGGTTCTGGGCCTGAGCAAGGTGTTGGACATGACTTGCCCCAGGTGTGAGTATCCAAGAATTCCTTTCGAGATGGCCTTCTCATCGACATTAACCTTGTCCCTCGGGGTCGGGGGCTCAGCTTTGAAAACCGCCACATCTGCCTGCCCTGCGCAGATGCCCCAAGGAAATACCCGTCAAGCCTAACTCATCAGATGGCCTTCGCAGGTTAGCAGTTTTGCAGGCCTCGGTCCATAACGGCATACAATATACGATAATATACTATGATATACTATAATACTATAATAGACTATAACAGACTATACTATGATATACTATAATGCTATAATAGACTATAACAGACTATAATAGACTATAGTATACTGTAATGTACTATAATATACTGTACTATAATGTACTATAATATACTACGACTCGAAGCCACACAGACCCCCGAACCCCGGTGGCCTCGTTGAGCGAGGTGCCGCCGTGGAAAGCGAAGCTGAGGAACTCCAGAAGTCCTTCTTTTTGCTGCACGGGAGGTGTGATGCGCGTATGTTTGCCTGCGCAGCAGCCTGCATGCATGTCTGTATATGTGCAGAGAATACCTGTATACATACGCAGGTTCTCAGATTGCAACATGTACTCATGCATCCAAGGATGCACATACATCTACATCCACATATGCATGTGTATGTGCACGCATGCTTGCCTGCTGCAAGTACATATGCACATGTGCACATATGTATGTGTGTGTATGTGCGCGCAATGACTACATGCATGCACATATTACACCTGTATGTATGTACATATGCATATTTGTATGTATGCATGCGTGAATGTAAGCAGGCATAAGAATGTCTATGTGTATGCGCATGTGTATGTGAATGTGTGCATATGTATGTGCATGTGTAGGTGCATGTGCATGTGCATGTGTAGGTGCATGCGCATGTGTATGTGTATGTGCATGCTTGTGTATGGTTATGCCTGTGTATGTGTATGTACACAAGTATTCGCATGTATGTGTATGTGCATGGGCATGTGTAGGTATTATGTGCATGTGTATGTATATGTGTGCTTGGTTGTGCGTTTTACATATGTATGCATACACACATCATACCTGTGTGTGTGTGCTAGCGCCAGTGTGTGCATGTGCATATGAGCATGTGCAGGTGTATGCCTTTGTCTCCATTTGCGCGTGGATGTGTATGAGTGCGTGCCTGCACTACGCCTGCAGATGTGTGCATGCACATATGTATACGCATGTATGCGCAAGTAGGTGAATGATCATGCGCGTCTGCATCTGCAAGAACGTGCACACATGCACACGGAGTACACATACGGACATAAACCTGCCATGTGCAGAAACGTGACAAACCTACAAGTTTGTAATGATGGGGGCATGGTGGCAGACACAGGTCCCGGGTTGAAGTTTGAGAAACTTAAGGTGGAGGTTTGATGTGCCCCAGAAGCATGTTTCTGGAGTTAGGGAACTAGCTGAAGCAAGTTGCGATGCACGCGCTCAAACATCAAAAAGCATGTAGGGCTGATATTGGCGCCTCGGCATAGGAAACCCACAGGACCGTCCATCAATAACAGCATCATCTTCCAAAACCCGACATAGGAGGTCTTACAGAAGCCACATTAAACTCCTGTTGTTGTGGCACACGCATACGACTGTAATCCACGGCTTCCCTGCTTCGACACGAAGCCTCAGGAAACCGCTTGAGCGCCGAACCCAACTGCGGCACCCTGAACTGCAAAACGAGTGGAGATGCTGACAACAAGGAGGAGGAGGATACCAACTTTTTAAGCGGGCTCTTGCCACTACGACCACCCTACAGTACGGGTTTTGTAGGGGGTCATAATGTGCCGACAAGGGCTGTGGGCTTAACGGTTTCATGAAAGCTGCGTAAAGAAAACCTTAAAGAGGACCATATCATACCCCAACTGGATGGTTTCATAAAGAGCGGTATGGAAAAAAATAAAAAAACTTAAACAGGACCTTATCCTACCCCCAATCGAGTGGATCTCAGGCAGGGAGCGGCCCAGACCGGCCGCAGTCAGATCCAGCTCCAGCTGCTGAAGCTCGGCTCCTTTTGCAGTAAACCCTATCAAGTTGGAAACCGGATTAAGTACTCTTAATGATTGAGGCTATGGGGTTTCCAACTTTTGGGCTTCTACTGTAGAGGGCTCTCATATGGGAGTTTCCGAAAATGGGGTACCGTAATATAGCATCCTAAATAGTAGGATCCCTATAGGACCTTAACAAGGTTCTCCTAATTTTCGGAAACTCCCATATGTGTATCTGTGGTTAGTACCGACAAGCTGCCACTACTGTCGTTGTCTGCGGACGTGCTCGCAGAGACTTTCTCTTTTTGAGAGCTCTGAAGGAGCCGAAGGGTTCCTTTATACGGACTGCATGTACTGTGAGGGTTCTAGAGGCTTCCAAGACGGCTGACACGGGGCCTAAAGTTTTGGTTCGGGCCAGAACTCATAGGGCCGGGTCCCGTGCCTGTGGAAAAAGCGAAGAGGCAGCAGCGCCGCTGCTGCTCTTGCGCTTGGCGAAGGCACTCGAACCTTGCGAATCCGGAATCAAGAAAAGGATATCAAGAAGCTATACTATAGACTGCTATAGTTAACATGACTAGAATACGTGGGAAACGAAACAAGGACGTCAAGACTCCAAATGCAAAGACGCCGTGTTGGATGTACACAGGCCCATACATATGCATCCACATGTACGGATCGGACCCATTTGGACCTAAGCGGCCTCCGAAGCTAAGCAGAGAGAGAGAGAGAGACAGGGCAAAAGAGAGCGACAGAGAGAGAGCGAGACAGAGATGTACAGATATATATATATATATACATATACACATATACACATATACACATATACACATATACACATATACACATATATACATATATACATATATACACATATATACATATATACATATATACATATATACATATATACATATATACATATGTACATATATACATATGTACATATATACATATTATACATATATACATATATACATATATACATATATACAAATATCTATATATACATATAAACATATATACATGTATACATATATACATATGTACATATCATGTATACATATATACATAATACAAACATAAACATGTATACATATATATATATACTGACATACTACACAAACCAACATATACATACACACACATACACATGCAAATGCACATAAACATACACAGGCGCATGCACATGCACATACACATACAGATGCAAATACAACTACATATGCGCATACGGATACGTTCATACACAAGAACATATACATACAGATATACATTCATCCATCTATCTCTTGTCGTTCTGTCCTACAGCTAATTTTAGGGATACTGGTCCGGCTCCTACTCGAGCCAAGGCGCACCAGCGCCTTGGCCACGGTCTCCGGGGCGCCGCCTCCAGGCCCAAAACAGATACTATTGTTTGTAGATCAGAATGGTTATGATTAGAATAGATTTTCATTAAAATACATATAAGTGTTGTGATTACTGATATAACTCGTGTTCATACGGATACGGGCGAGATTGGCAATGATTGGACCTCACTTGTCAGAAGAACCAATGCATGGTCTGAGTCGAGCGGATTCCAGGGCACGGGCCACAAGATGTGGGCTGTGGATGGCTGTGGCTGCCTTCCACCCGGCATACTTTGTGGCGCACTGTTTGACCGCAATGCCCTGCTTTAACCCAGAACACCGTTTCCCGTCCTGACCCGAACCACTGAGGCTCGAAGCCAAGAGTCCTTCCATCGTTCTAGGGTTCAAGGGCGTAGGCTTAGGACTTCAGGGCCCAGGGTAAGCTCAAGCTCCCGGGTTCCCGGCTCAGAGCCTCGCCTGGTTGAAATGGGGCTGGGCTTTTATACCCGTGCACCGCACGACATGATGTAGATGGTGGAACTCACACTTCCCCCTCATGGGTTGAGCTCTCGGTCACACGATGAAGGGTTTTGGTTGCTGTCGGACTTCGACCACGGCCTTTTCGTGCCATGCTCCCACTGGTGTCCAGGCAGAGGATCAAGGGCCCGTTCTCTCCCGCGGGGCGAACCTGCATAGAGCGCTGACTCGACCTCCTCCCAAGACAGGCCTTGAATTCTAAAGCCTTAGATTCTAAATACTGTAAACTTGCGCTAAAAATGGTCCCTATCTTCTGACGCCCTCTGGCTATGCTGCACGCCTTTCCTCAACTCTACGGATGCTCCGATGCTCTCCGAGCCCTTTTTTTGGTGCCTCCTCGGCTCGGAGCTCCCGTGTGGGGACTTCCACCCAGGAGGCCCGGTTGTAACCTGACCAGGCTCTACTTAGGAGTTTCCGAAAACTAGGGGTACCTCATTTGGGGGTCCTTATAATAGGTATTAGGGACCCCTATTTTCGGAAACTCCCACTTGGTCCATTTAAGGGAACCATAGGGATACTATAAGGGTATAGGGTTTAGGGTTTACTTGGAGGTGCATGGGTAGTTATAAGTGGGGCTATAAGTAGGATAGCTGTAGTTATAACTCCTATTAGGGGAATTATAACCCTACTTATAACTAACCATGAACCTCCAAGAAGAAATGTTTTTTGGGGGTTCAGGGGGTTGGGGTTTGGGGGTCGGGGGGTTTGGGGGTTTGGGGTTTCGGGTGGCAACAAGGCAGGTTTCGGGTTCAAGGTTTCGACTCTCGCACTCGCGCAAAGCAGACAAGGCTCCACGACGACTGGTCCGAGAAGAAAGAAAGATGACTCTATGCGGAGGGAGTACATCATGAGAAGTTCACAAATTATTTGTTACTGCCGATTTAGGGTTTCGGCGCTCACGCTCAGGGTTTTATCCTTTTTTTTCGCTCGTTGCTTCCGCTGCCGAAGGCTAGCTCAGGGTTTTTTGACACTCACACTCGGACAAAGCCTGGCAAGGTCTGCAGCGATACTGGTCTAACATCATAAACGGGCACTACTCACGCCACGCTCAGGGTTTAGGGTTTAGGGGACAGGTCTCTGGTGCAAGTTTGGCATTACGACGACTCTTCTGTCTGGTGCTTCGTAGGGAATGGATCATGGAGTCGATTATTGAGGAAGTATAGAGGGACTATTATAGGGATCCATGCCCTACTAAGCACCAGACAGCCTTCGAAGAAACGGACGCTCCCACGCTCCGAAGCTGAACCTCTCTCTCAAATCCTGTGACAAGCAGGACCTGCCCATGCGCAGGGACTATGAGGGTTTAGAGTTTAGGGTTTAGGGTTTGAGGTTTAGGGTTTGAGGTTTAGGGTTTGAGGTTTAGGGTTTGAGGTTTAGGGTTTGAGGTTTAGGGTTTGAGGTTTAGGGTTTGAGGTTTAGGGTTTGAGGTTTAGGGTTTGAGGTTTAGGGTCTGAGGTTTAGGGTCTGAGGTTTAGGGTTTGAGGTTTAGGGTTTGAGGTTTAGGGTTTGAGGTTTAGGGTTTGAGGTATACTTTATTGTAGGATGCCTGCTTAGGTTGATATGGGACCTATTCCAAAGCCCCCAAGGCCTGAAGAGGGCCCTGATGTACCCAGAGAGCCCGATGCCCCTTAACTAAGGAAAATGGCTTAAATTATGTAGGGCTTCATATTTTATGATTTAAGGTATATTCCTTAATTAAGTGGTATTGGGTTTTCTGGGTATTTTTTAGAGCTTATCCTCTGCCCTGCATCCCGGCAGCTGAGCAGAGATTGCTCCAGTCTCCGAGCATGGTGGAGCGCCCTGGGGCCGTCATCGAGTTCTTCTAGAAGGATCTTACGACGGCTGCACGCACGCCCAAAAGAGCTACGTTCGAACACGCTGGAGGGATCCGAAGGAGTTATGGCGCAAGATGCTCCAAGAGCCCAGGTAGTCCGGGCAGAAGACAGGTGAGGGTTTTGCCGCTGGCTATCTACAGGGTTTGCACTAGGTCTCTAAATACTAGATGATAGGGTTCAATCAGGTGTTGCACGTATGTTGAACCCTTCGTTGCCACTTCTGTCATCGCGCAGCTTGGGAGTTGGTCCTCGGGTGTGTGCGTGGCCTCGTTGGATCGCGAGAGCGGAAGACAGAATTCCTAGATCACCATCAGGATCATGGGCTAGGCCTGACTTAGAAGCCGCAAGCACTCATCAGGGTCTTGTTTCATCTTCTGCTTCAGAAGGTGCAAAGAAATGGTTCATCTTGGTAGGTATTCAGTCTCCTAGATTACCAGAACGGTCCGGCCTCAGAGTGGACCTCTTGCGGCCCTGCACCAGAAGGTGGGCCTTGGCTCCAGGCTTCTGATTCAAACGGTTTCAGGATGTTTCAGGTTTAGGTGGGGGTGTAAGTTTAATGTCCCTTTCAAGGGTTGCTACAAGGGAGTCCCATTTTGCGGTTTAGGGCTTGGGACACCATCCTCCCTCCCCCGAAGCTCTTAAGGGCCCCTAAGCCCTAAGCCCAAGATCCTGCCGAGGCCTGGCCTCGGCCGGCAGCATCAGCTCGATGGCGCCGCTGCGCGCGATGCCGGAGGCCTCCCAGCGCCAGCGCAAGATAAGGACCCCCGGGCCCCATCGCACTGGCACTGATACCCAAGGAGGTGTGCTGCCTCATCCAATCCCCAAGTTTTTTGACCAAGGGTGAAACCTAGCGACCGTGATGCATCAGAAACGCCCCTGTACATAGTCACCAGAGCAAGCAAAGACTTTCGGGCTTTAGAATAAGTCCACTTTTCGCTCCGTGCTTGCAGGCTTAAGAGAGATAAATCGCTACAGTCTGAATATCCTTGGCAGAAGTATGTTGTAGCCATGGCATGTTAGAACTATAGTTTCTAGTTTCTAGTACGCTACATCTCTCGGTTAAGGTAGCCCTACCTTAACCCTCACAGAACCTACCTTTTTAAAGGACTTTTCTAAGGAAATCTTAGTAAGCAGCCCTGTTCTCATGTGCTGCCATCTTGGCCTCCGAGGGTGCTCTCACGGAGCGGGCCACCCCTTGCGGGCAGCCGAGATCCTCACAGCCACTCAGAGCCTCAAATATCCCCTGAATTCAGGAATAGACTTTAAATCTTGGATCCTACTATAACTTAACTTATATCCCTTAATTAAGGAATAGACCTTAAAATACAGTAGGATCCCTGATAAGATTTGAAGTGTATTCCTTTATTGAAGGATACAGGAGTCTCTGGACACGACCGAAACGGGCTTCGGCCCGCCTTTGTTTTCAAGGTTTAGGGTTTGGAGGTTGGGTTTTAAGCTTTTTTCCCTCCTACCTGGCAGAGGATATCGTGGGGCTTAGGGTTTATTTGGTTTGGGGTTTACGGTTCGGTCTAGGTCCCACCCCTCGCACGGCCCTCATAGACTCGCAATTCCGTCGTTCTTGTTCGCAACCCCGATTTCGGCGTGCAAGCCGGGACCTGCAGTAAGATACACGACGAACAGTCACATGGAAACAACAACTTTAGTTGCGATGTATGAGAGATGTTGTGCACTTTGCATACTCTCTCACAGACTTGTGGTACATGCTGCTCGTATTATCTTGAGATGCATCTTGCAACTATAGTGAAAGTATGTTACACTTAGAGATGTTGTGGCACTATGATGGTTATAACATGTTATACTCATAGTATACTAGACGGGAGAAGCGGAGAGCATATGCGACACTGTTACAGACTAGCGAGCCAACCCGAGAAAAGCTTCCCCAAAGCTCGATTGACTTGCCAAAAACACGAAAATATCACCTGATGGTGGCTCAAACGCCAGAAATTGCTGGCAACACCCAAATGCGCCAACTCAATGAAGAAGGGCTCTAGCTCAGGTGGTTCGAAAGCAAAACGTATGTGCCAGTTTCGAGAATTGCACCACGAAAGACCCTAAACGGTTGAAGAGAGACAAGCGTCGAAAACCTCGGCATTGGCCAGCCACACACAATCCGAAATGTCGGGCTTCCTCTTCAAATCAACAAGAACCCCTACACTAAACAGTAAACTGCTTGGGGAACAAAAAATCCTACTGCAGAGCCTTGAATGGGAAGTGCAACGTGGAACTCAACTCTACATAAACACAGCCGCAAACAGCCCAAGTTAGATAGCTAGACCAATAGATAAGTACGGCTTGAGATGTGAATAACTGTATCTCTACTTGAATGGACGAAGACATAAGCAGAACGGCATCATGTCCATCTGCACATACTATATCTGTAAGATATATGCAGATGTATACAGGGACAAACAGACATAAATGAATACATATATATATATATCTCTCTCTCTCTCTCTCTCTCTCTCTCTCTCTTTATTTATATGTATGCATATATGTATATGTGTCTGTGTACAAACACTTACGCGTGTCTTTTTTGCTGTGACGACCGTGGTCCTCAGCCTCGGCAGGAAGCCAACGCCTGTTCGTCGCGATGCTCGTGTGTGAAGGATTTTGGGGGAATTGGAATTTCAGAAAATTGGGGTACCTTATATTGGGGGTCCTTATAATGAGAATCCTACTAGTATTGAGGGTACTACATAAGGGTCCCTATTTTCGGAAACTCTCAAGTGGACATCTGAAGTTCTGGAAAGTGATTGAGGCAAAAGCAGAACTCTGGCTTCCTCAACGAAGCTAAGCCTTGTCAGTGGCGAAACGTCTGCCGTGTACTATTGCAGCATGCATTGCTATCGCTCTTGAACCCTCAACAGGTCTTGCCACCGGCCTCGGCCCGCGCACGGCCGCCCGGCGGCCGATGCGGCGAACCAGCTTCCTCCATCCGAAGGCTTGGGCAAACTATGCTCCTTCCTGCACTGTATCATAGCACGAAAAACGAAGAGGAAGACAACAGAAACTACCGCAACAAACGAGATAAAAAGTCAGCACTTCGTGTGCTGGTGATCATGAGAACTCTGCCTGCCGCTATGCTTCACTCTCATTCTCGATGTTAGTACCATGCGTCATTGCTTTCTCATGTGGTTGGGTCACAACTACGACCATTACCACTATCACCACCAACACAACAATGACTACGACTGTTGCTAAAGGGGAGCCTTCGAGGAACCCGGAACCCTAAAGGAACCCTCAGAGGAAACTTGCAAGGAACCTTCTAAAGAACCCTTAAAGGAACCTCTACACCTTGAAAGGAACCTTTAGAGGGACCCTTAAAGGTTCCGCTGAGGATCAATTAAAGGATCCCCTAAGGTTCCCCTTAAAGGAACCCTTAAATGGACCCTTAAAGGGACCCTTAGTATAAGGAGCCTTTAAAGGGACCCTTAAAAATTAAAAGAAAAAAAAAGGTACCCTAAAAAAAAAGAGGCCCTTAGTAACGGCTCCCCCCGGCCTCAGCTCGGGCAGGCGGCCGAGCACAGCCCTCAGCTCCCGGGCCGCTGCCCAGCCCTGGGGAGCTTGGAGGCTTCAGGGTTTTAGGGTTTAGGTTTTAGGGTTTAGGGTTTAGGGTTTAGGCTTCAGGGTTTTAGGGTTTCGACGCTCCCTCTCGCACAAGACAGGCAAGGCTCCACATAGGGTTTCAGGGTTTAGGGTTCAGGGTTTAGGGTTCAGAGTTTTTGTTTTGTCGAGCGCCTTTCTGCCTAGCAGTTGAGGTCAGGGTTCAGAGTTTAGGGCTTAGGGATTAGGGTTTAGGGTTTGTGGATTAGGGGTTAAGGTTTAGGATTTAGGGTTCAAGGTTCAGGGTTTAAGCTTTCGGCGCTCACACTCGGACAATCCAGGCGAGGCATGTGTTTCGAAGTCTGACAAAGTGAAACGGACCAAAGGAGGTAGTCAAGATGACAAGCAACAACGATTATATTAAAAAATGAAGTGACTATACTCCGCAGACTGCTTCCTACACGGGATCTTACCTAGGGCTTCGGGGGCTGAGGGGTTTGTTTACTGGGTTCTTGTTAAGGGATCTAATTTACCATGACAGGTATCTATAGTAAATCATGTGGTTTCCTTTGTGGCAACTTAAATTTATATCACTGGCAAGAACCCAGTTTGGGGTTCTTTTCCCTCCTGGCTAGGAAAGACGGGACCGCAATGCAGGGTGGCTTCTGGTTTAGGTTCTGGGTTTCGACTCGCACACTCGAACGAAGCAGGCTCTCGGCGCTCACACTCGCACAAAGGGTCTAGATTCGAGACTTTGGTTTCTGTTTAGGGCTTGGGGTTCTGGGTTCTGGTTCTAGGGTTTTGTGTTGTTCTGAACGACCCTGTCTGTCTCGCAAGATCCAGGAAGAGGCTTTCTGCTTCGTGTTATGCTGAGGACCGGGGATCTTAGTTCGGGGACTTATTGTGTATGGTGGAGGAATCCAGGGTTTGCGGTTGTGAGGCAGCGGGAACAAGCACGAAGATGATGACAACACCATGAGATGTGGGGGTTGCGAGCTTTGGGACGAAGGCCTCTGCAATAGCAAAAACAGCTTCAAAGAAGAAGCCGAATAGAGGTACAACTTCAACTAAACGCAGTCAGTGTAGTCTCTTCATGACATCTTCGGGCGAACAGGTCTCAGGGCTTGAAGTAATCCTTTTTGCTTTGGGTTGCTGGGATGAGGTCGCTGCTGTTTCAAGATTCTGTTTTTCTGGGGCTGCCAGACTCGTCGGGTTTGGCACAAGGACTTACACGTGCACCAGAGCAATGCTGTCAGAATGTGGAACAAACCAAGGACTGTACAAATATGGCAACCACACTGGTGGCGACGGTGATGGGTCGTGGTACTGAGTTCGGAACTGACAAGAAACCTGAGCCCATGCAAGACAGTTTCATATAATGCTGGAACCGTCAATAACAGCAATAGCCAGTGTGAACAAGCTCACGGCAAGCGTTACACTAGTTCACAACATTTCTCTCGTGAACAGAACTATCCGCAATCCTCTAGAGACGTTCGTAACGGAAAACCTCTCAGCTTCAAGAGCCGACAGAAACTCCCCAGCCCAAAATCCAAAAGCCTGAAGCCTTCATGAGACTCATAGCTTCTGCCAAGAAATCCTAAAAGACACCCGGCCTCCGATTTGTGCCAGGGTGCCCCACCTTCGGTGAAGTTCTCCTGAGTTTGACAGTTTCACGAATCTTTTCCCCACCCGAGTCGCACCGCAGGGAGTTCGCCCGAACTGAGAAGCAAAACGCACACTCTAGAGTGGTTCAAGCACAACAACTCCGATCACCCGATAAAGCTGGTTGGAGAATGCACTCGTCTCGGGCTCTTGAAAGCTAGTCGCATCAGGTGTCACAGGGGATGCGGAAATGCCCCCAACAGAAGCCGTTCTTCCCTTGGGGCATTACAGTTTCGGGAAGCCTCGAGAAGCTTTTGGGAATGGAATTTGAGAGCGACTTAGATCATTTTGCGAAGGGGCTTCAGGGTTCTATGTGAGGTACGGAAATCGATGAGATCCAACGATCGCCCGAAGTCTTCAAACTGTTTCTGCTGCTTTGCACGATGGTGTGTTTCTTTGAGCAATACGGTCAGAAATACACCGGAATCCGAAACGGTGATGTAAAAACCTCACTTCTGCCTATCACAAACCCATGAGCATGCTGCAAAGAGTTGTTATGCTAAGTCTAACTCTACGATGCATTTGCGAAGCCCGAAGCACAGAAACCGCGAACCCAGAGAGCCCAATACCCCTTAATAAAGGAATATGCCTTAAATTATCTAGAGCTTCATATTACGATGTAAGGTATATTCCTGAATTAAGGGGTATTGGGCTGTGTGGGAAAGCTCCAACACGACCGAAGCACCGCGAAGCTTTGCGCGCCGCCCAGGCCAAATGCATCCTCCTCAGAGCACAGGGGCCTAAGCCTAGGGATCAAAATAGCCCGAAAGCCTCATATAGTATGGTCTTTGGGCCCAAAAGCCTTAATATATGAGTCCTTCTTTGTCACTCGCTCCCGGCAGGCGAGGTGAGTCCTTAAATCCCTAGGGTAACCCGCAAAGCCTCAAACGCTTCAGCCTTCGTCCATGGCTTCAAGAGCTCAAGAACTACAGTCGAAGCCAGAAAGTTGGAATATCATTATCGTAACCCCTTTAAGGTGAATTATAGGGGATCCTACCATTAATCCATATTCCAACTTTCTGGAGTTCCCTGTACCCGGATTCCACGCTGCCTGCTGGAAGTCTGCCAAATGGGCTCAGTTCGGCGAGTGCAGAGCAGCTCTCGAAATATATCCAAACGTCCGGACCGGGATAGCAGTGAAGACTCAAAGAACACAACTCACATCATTAAATCCGTCAGAGTTGCTTCGACCACCAAAACTTAAAACAGCCAAGCTGTCCGTTCAAGCACCTCTCTTGCCAGTATGTTTGCTTAAGGCGCTGATTCTCCCCGGCGTTGCGGCAAGTTTCTTTTGGAATTTGAGCTTCTTGTATATGTACAGATGCAAATACAGTACAGTAACCTGAACAAACACATATACACGTTGTTTCCTTGCTTGCTTGTTTTCGCTTTATTAACTTTACTAACCTGCGAATTATCTTGTGCTGACTTGCTAATTCTTGGTTTGTCTTCTATCTTTGTGCATATCTTTCTGCAGGTCAGCGGAACGGGGTTCTCTCCCTCTCTCGTGCTCTCCGCGTCATCGCACATGCACAACCATCCTCTCAGCAGCGTTCGCTGCTGCTTTCCAGGTGCACAGACTTCAAAGTCGCAGGGACTGCACTGCGACCGTGCCATTTCAATGCTCTACTATGCCAGCCGTGCAGCCTTGCGACATCTCTGTTATCTCTGTTGCTGGGAGTTGCTTAAACCTCTGGCACGGCTGTGCTGGTATCGTTATGCTTTCACTGCCTTCTTTTAGGGTTCAGGGTTTAGGCTCGCTCCTGACCTTAGGTGCCAGGGTACCGCCTCGTTCAAGGCATCGACGGCAGGCTCCCAGTCCTGATGGCTGCGGGCTTTGGGCTTAGACTGCCGGGTTTGGGGATTCAGGGTTTAGGGGTTTAGGGTTGAGGGTTTGGGGATTTATGGCTCTTGCAAGACTTATTGCCTCCTTACTCCAAAACCTCATGCTTGAACCGACCACAATAGAAACTTATGGTTTCGTCGCACGAGTCGCATCAACTGCAATAATCTCCATACCATGCGCTTCTTCACGTGCTCTTGTGGCATCCCGCGGCTTGCCCCATTATACGATAACAAGAATACTAACCTTGCGAATGACAGCATAAAACATAACAGTAATAACAACACTAGTATATCGGCTTCTTCACTCTATTTCCAAAGTGCATTTCACCGGCTCACCTTGCTCCTTGCTGCACTGTTGAAAGCATATGGCCGGTGATACGACTACCACAGCAAGTGCCACGCTGTTGATGACAAATGCTCCTCAATCCTGCGATCAAACTGCCGCAAATTTGACGAGTTGAGCCTTAAAGCTTCGAAGACGGGTTGCAAGGACTCCGTAACAAACAAAAATCAAGCCCATGTCATCACCAAGCCAGCATAAGAGCCTCACCTTCGTGTGCAAAATTGGGCGCGCCCTTGCACTACCTGTTTGAATACTCATTCGTCGTCCATGTAGTACATGAAGCCGTCGGGCTTGCTGGCATCTTTCGTGCGCGTGATGCAGGTTCCTTCCGTGAAGTAAACGGTGTCGCTGTCGTCATGAGGGCCTTTCAGGGTGTAGAACATGTCTCGCATCCATGCATCATGGTCATTTGCACCTTGGCTTGTGCTGCGGCTGATGCTGCGGCTACGGCTGCGGCTGCGGCTGCGGCTGCGGCTTCGTCCTGTCGGGATAACTACCTCCAGCTCCGTGCCATCTGGCACTGAGGCGGGCGCAGGCTTGGCGTGCAGGAGTAGCTGCACGTCTTGCAGATTCGAGGCTGCCCACTCCTTGCTGTTCCTTAACACAACCAGCACATCGGCCAACGGCACCGTCCCGGCGCCGCGGAAATTCAGCTGCACGGCCTCTTTGTTGGGGAGTCTCGCCGTGATGACCATGGTGGGAGGATATATACTCTGTATGAATAATCGCGCAGGTGCAGTTGCTCAGTACTACGGTACTACGTTCGTTGTCTTGTTGCTGTTGCTGAGCTTCTTGCCGTTAGGCTTCATGCTTCTAGCATGACGGTAGTGTGGTCATACAATGTGTGCAAGGAAGCGCGTTGCATAACGTACAAATGTCTTCGGCATGGCACGCGCAAGCTGAAATTGTAGCTCTATGGCCAGATCCTTTGTCCATCTTCCTTTCGTTCTATACCTCTTGCTCCGAAGGCCTGCTACAAACATCGCAACCTTCTGCAGAAAAGCCTGTGCACTTTTCTTTGTGAGTGTCCCAGCCCCTGCTTCCCTGCAGACGGCGGGCCCCACGCAAATGACCCTCGAGCCCTGTCCTGCCGGAAGTCATCCATGAGCTCCTGTCGAATTCGAGGCCGAGATCGGAACCGGATGCTCACACCCTACTTGGAGGTTCATTGGTAATTATAACAGGGTTATAAGTCCCCTAATGGGAGTCTTAGGTAGAGTTACCCTACCTATAACCCCACTTATAACTACCCATTAACCTCCAAGTAGGCACTTCGTAGTGTCCGCAAACACTTTGTAGCAGAGAGGCGCAAGCATGTAGCTCACATTGCAGTACGAACCTGAAGCCTACGTCCCAACTTCCAGACCTTCAGCTACTCCTTACGACCCTCGGACAGCGCTGACAAGTACTCAGACACCTGCCGAACGGTCTGAAACCTCAAGCCCTAGATCCCGACCACCGAACTCCTAGACACTACACCATTTGATCCCTATGCATGAGCCCGCATCCCCGACGCCCCTCGGCCAGCGAGTCATAAGCAGGATGGAAAGTAGGGTATCTCGAACTGCTTCTTTTAGCATAGAGTAGTGACGGCCGCTGGCTCTAAGTCGAAAATCCTCCTAGAGGTGATGTGCTTCCATGTTGTGGAGCGAATTTCCGGGTTCCGATGCTCCTCAACCCCTTTGGCCGCCGGGCTCAAGCCAGAGAGCCGAATACCCCTTAAATTGGGAATATGGCTTAAATTATAAAGGGCTTCATATTATGATTTAAGCCATAGTCCTTAATTAAGGAGTATTGGGCTCTCTGGGAAGTCTAGTCAGAACTTCCAGAACTCTCCTCAAACTTAAACTCCGAAGCCCAAGGCGTTTTGACACTCGAAGGTCCTGTGTCGCAGCAGGTTCCTGCTGCTCTTGCACTCGCTGGGCAACGCCAGCTCTGTCTCTAGCGCCAGAGTTTTCATGGTCGCTTGTCAGCTGCGAAGCTGAAATGAACGAAAATGATTAACTTGAAGTCTATTTGCCCTTGCCCACCCCAGCCGGGGCAATCTCTACAGATCTCTACATACAGTCGCAACAGCAGGCACTGTGCTGCGACAACGGCGTGGAAGGACAGTAACCATATCAGCCGAGTCATGCAACATACCTGCATACATGAAAGCCGAGATGGTGGACCAGGCGGCCTTCACGCATTCGTGCTGAGTTAGGGTTTGGGATGTAAGGGTTTAAGGATCAAGGGCTTCGGCTTTTGTCTAGGGTTTTTTGTTTAGGGCTTGGGGAGTTTAGGGGTTTGGGCTTCTATCCAAAGATTTCCCCCATCACTGGTCCACCTCATACACTTCACGGATGGTGCAGGGGAACGCCCTTGGCATTTGCAACAGCTCTTGGAGCCGAGCGGAATAGAACCGTTGAGATGATCGGGTATGCTCTGGTGTTGTAGTCATGACTCTATGCATGTATACATGTGTCTATATATATATATATATATATATATATATATATATATATTCTACTATGGTAGTACCAGACACCATATACCAGTACAGCATTACAGTAGCAATCTGACACCTCGTGCCGCATCAAATCACAAGTCAGGTTGTGCTGGCGAACGCGCGATTCGTGTCTGGTACTATATTGTGCCATGTTTGTGATGATGTCCGGTTCTTCCGTCCTCCACCTTGGATTCCATGCAAAACTTAAGGCTGAGCTCAGATGATACACTGCAAAATACCGATATAAAATACCAAAATACTATAATAGTATTGGGCGGCCCCCTTCTGCACCGGTTTAAATGGGGCGGGGAGAAGCCCTCTGCTGAGGCTACTCTGGGGCGCACCAGGAAAGGCCGAGCGTGCTGCGCCGAACTGAACACCACATCTTCAGAAACATGATAAAATCATAGTGTGTTGGGCTTTAGGGTTTAGGGTTTTTTTGTAGTACATAACAGCATGTGACATGTGATAGTATGTTATAGTAGAATATGATATAACATAGGCTCTACAACAGAAACCATACGCGCTTAGATGCTACGACTTTCTACATCTAGCACCACTACTAATCGGGATTCTCTCCAGCTGAAGGCCTGAACCCTGACTTCGAGCCTGAGGTTCTACAACAAGACTCTGCAGTTGGAACTACGATTGCGATCATGACTATGGCGACGGCAGTAGCAAAACGCGTGGCAGCGATGCTCTCCTCTAGAAGTGGTAGTTGCAATAGCAATGCTAGCCGTGACGACAGCAATAAGGCTTCTTCGCCGATGAAAGCTTTCAGGGACGCACGTAGAGCATCCCGATCAGTAGGAGCCTGACTCTAATCTGAGGACCCCGAGCGATAAACTCTAACTTAAGAGATCCGCCCTGTCAAAGTCCCAGCGCTCCGGCACCCAGGCAAGCCGCCCCAGCTCCCGAAACCCCTCTACAGTGCGAGTCCGCTTGCCGAGCTCCAGGACCGAACAAGTGACGATAACCATAATTAGTATTAGTATTAATATTAATATTAGTATTAATATTAGTATTAATATTAGTATTAGCATTAGTATCAATATTAGTATTAGTATAACAGTAGCTGTAATTGTCAAGACAGAAAAGTTGCAAGCATAAAGAAGAAGAGGCAGGCTGGTGAAAACAGATGTGTTTGCCTCCACGTGACAACGGAATCATATCAGAACTCAAGCGGTCGGGGGTTGGGGCGTCGGAGATACAAGTAGACCGGCGGCCAGAACGGACTTCTGGTTGTTGTGCCGACGTAACAACAACAAACTGCTACTGCTGCCACTACGACCACGACGACCACGACTACTGCGACGACTCCTACGACTACGAGCACGAAGACGAAGACGACCACAACAACACCTCCTCCGCCTCGTCCTCCTGCTTTTGCTGCTACTACTACTACTGCTACTGCTGCTATTAATGCTACTGCTGCTAGTAATGCCACGACGACTAACTACTACCACTACGACGACTGCTACTACTCCTGCGACTATTGACTATTATGACTATTGCTTATCACAAGGAAGCTTTCTCTTCCCTGTTGGCATCGATCCTGCTACCAAGACGGCTCAGCGACTCGTGGACGCCCTTCTGTACAAGGCGCGTATCAAAAGCAGTCCATAAAGGAAGGTCAAGGCTGTGAGGTGCAGCGAAGCGTACTAGAAGATGATAACCGAGCTAGGCAGTGAGGGGCGAGAAGAGCGTGTGCTTTCGAGGGCCGACATGGCGGCCAACACAAAGAGACACACAGCAAAGAGTCTCCTGTGGAGCTGGGGCTCCCAGGCCGTCTCGATGCCTTCTCCCTCTCTTGCTACTCCCAGTCGCACGTCTAGTGATGGAATGTCTGTGGAGTCATGTTGATACTACGAGTAGTGTGTGGGGCCCTTGAATTTTCTGCAGGTCCTTCCTGCTAGGGAGCAATGGAACAAGACCTGCCGAAAAAACAGCCTGTTGATGCACCGTGCTGGCATCGGCATAAAGTCGGCCGATGCTCATAGTAAATTCAATTCGGCATGCGTGTATTCTGCTAGCTCCGGTTCTTACCGGCGTCCGGGACAAACTCACCGGCGTTTGCAGCATATTCCGACGACAAACCTCCTTGAGGCTTGCACGATGAATATTCTCAGGCTTTGCTCTCTTTGCTCTTGTTCTCGAGCGGGCCAAACTTCGATCGAGCCGCTTGCAGGATGTGGCGGCCGTTTGTGGTGCGGCGAAGCTTGGGGCCCATTAGAGCAATCAAGCTAAGAACCCTCTGGGCCTCAGCTCCCTGAGAGATGACGATGACGCGCTGGCACACGTAATTGCCGAAGCGGTCCAAAGCCACCTTGACGAAGAGCGGATCATCCTCGCCCTCCGAGCCCAAGATGCGCTCTACCAGGGCACCCCTGTCCGGCCGCAAGGGCTCTGCCAGGTCCGGCCGGCACAGGGCCTCCAGGCAGCTCTCGAGGACGAGGCTGGCATGTCGATTCCGGGCACAGCTCAGAAGGTCACCTTGAGAGCAGAGCTTCAGAAAACTACTGAGGTGGGGGTTCTTTAGAAGAGTGATCGCAGCAGCTGTAGGTTTTTAAATTCTCGAATAGGGCCACGGGATACCCTGTTGTCCGAGGCCCCCACCTTCCAAGAAGAAGGCGACGAGGCTCTGTACACGGGGTGCGCTGGCACGGAGGAGCATGGAGCGGAGCACGTTGTGCCCATGGGCACTGGTCACGAGCCTTCCCAAAGCCTCCGACTCCAGCAAGGAATCCAGGATCTGCCTGGGTTGTGCTTTAAACCCTTTGAAAAAAAAAATATCTATAAATAGGTCCCCTTTATAAGGAAACAAGGGACATTAAGAATTATCCCAAAAATCACAACCCAGCTGCTTCATGTGCTCGTTCTCATGGTTGCCTCAGCGAGAGCTCTCATGAGAGAACTCGAAGCTTCTGGGCTCCTGGCTGCAGCAAAGCCGCAATGCTCCATGGTGCGCTGAAGCACGCGCCCGGAATAGAGGTTGAGCCTTTCAGCCACGGAAAGGGCGGCAAAAGGGCCGGTAGGGTTGGCTTGGATCTCAGGGTCGCAGGGCGGTTCAACGCTGACAAACCTGGGATTCCTTCCATAAAATTTCCTGAGCCCAAGCAGCGAGGCCGCCACCGCGTTGCCCACCAGCTCTCCAAGCATGGGATGCACCGCTTTCGCGGGGAAAACCTCGATGCACCTGAGAAGGGGGGCTGGTGAACCAGGCTTTAGCATCTCTGGAAGCTGCGAACCCCAGAAGGATATACCCCTTTTTAGCACGGACTGAGGCAGCAGGAGACCCTCATTCCGAAAAGCTCCCACACCAGGTGTTGGGAGAATGCCGACACCCCCACCCTCCGCCTTTGCAACACGAAGTTGCCGTACATGTGGCGAGAGCAGGTGAGCACGCGGCCGCGAAGCTCCACCACAAGAGCCTCCACGAACTCCAAGCCTCGCACAGGGTTAGGGTCTGTCAGCCTAGGTGTTTTAAAAAAGCGCATAAGTTTTAGGTTTCTTAAAACAAGGATATGGTCGACACTCAGCTTCAACAAGATGGGCTTAGGAAGACAAGGCCATGTCCAAAATGCTCTCGCTTGTCTTGCAGCCGGCCTTGCCAAAACCTGCGAGCCCTTGCTACCAAAACGAACCCCTGCAAACATAAACCTTTTCAGCCCGGACATAAACTTGAACCCAAAACAACACACTTACCTCCGTCAGAGTCCAGTCATGCCGTGCAACATGAGGCCAGCGAGCACATTGACACGTGCTACTGCACGTATATAATGAAAGTCTACAATAAGCTGGCAATAGATGCACAAAGGGGCATTGTGTGTATGTGTGTGAACTGTCTGCATACATACAATTACAGTAAAATGTCTGCGTACATACAACTACACACACATACATCTATACATACATATATATATATATATGTATGTATGTATGTATATATATATATATATACGGAATCCCATGTGACAGGAGTTGGCTTCGCGCCTATGTGACTGTACATATGAAAAATATGTATATGTGTATATATACACACATGTACACACATTACATATGTTGATGTATGGCGTGTATGCACGTATGCACGCATGCATGTATGCATGTGTCCCTTGACAAAACGAACGATGGAAAGACGACATATACTCAGGTAGATGTACACACATGTACGGCATGATATGTATGCCTTCGCGGGTGAAGAGTGCGTGTGTGTGTGTGTGTGTGTGAGCATGCGTATATGATGCTTGCAACCCCACGTATTCTTCCTTTTACTGGCATTCAGATATGCAACAGCATCGAGATTAGATCCATGTCATTTCGCGTGCGGAGGTGGTATACAACGAAGACCAAGTCCATGCATCCCAGACCCCAAAAGCCGCGCCTCCACTCTGAAGACCTTGCTGGACGATCCAGCACCTCGGATCGGTCGGCACACCAGAGAGTGAATGCAATCATCAGGATCAGCTTCATCAAGTTGTCCTCCTCTTCACTATGCCAACAACCGTCATCAACATCATGATTTTCAAAAAGTTCGTCCCCATCACACCCATCCTTGCCGTAGTGATTTTTCAACATCGACGCCGTTATCATCGCGATCTTCACCATCAAAATTCGTGTTCAACAATAATCACCCTAATCATCATAAGCATTGTGGCCATCGTCCTCATCGTCCTTCCGCCCTCATCCAGGAAATGAATATATCGACCTCGCCACGTCGAATCCGAGCTGTGGCTACCCCAGAACAAGCGGACACACGCCGTCAGAGCTGCCTTCCCCCATGGCTTCTGGAGTGCATGAAGCGGTCCCTCAAATCTTGCAAGCACGCCTGCGTAGGTCAAATGCCTTTGAAGAGATGCTGGGGAGCGGAGAAGCTTGATTTCTGGTTCAACCAGAGCCCAAAAGCTTGTCCGAAAGAGCGGAAATATGCATCTCCACATCCTTCTTTGTCTTCGCACCAATCCTTCCATAAACGAGAAAAGCAAAAAGCTTTCCTCAAAGCCAGCACAGGGCGCCCGTGCTTGTCTCTCACAAGGTTAAAAAGCGATCCCCGGAGTCGATGGATGATCCTCCGGCCCGGCTGTTGAAGGCTCTTGTTTTTGGTTGTTTTTTTTTTAAGCTCCTTTTTGCGTCTGAGGATCCCGGGTTTAGGGTTTGGGGTTCAGGCGTCCTTGCAAGCAAGCCTGCAGCAAAAGGGTTTGGGGTTTAGGGGACGCAACCGGGTTCAGGGTTGAGAGCCCTGAGTTCTAAACCCGGAACCCATGAGATTCTTCTAGTAGCCCGTATAGTAGCCGTGATCAGAGTTAAATCAAGTTTTAAGAGCGTCTTGGTCGTTGTCTTTGAAAGGGCAGCCCATCGCCCAGAGCAGGCCCTGATCACTCTCGGAGGAAGGAGAAAAAATGCCACATAGCCCATCGTACTGTAGGGTTTAGGGGGCTCACACTCGGACAATCCAGGCGAGGCATGTCGAGGTCTGATGGGCGAGACATTTCTAGTGGGAATGGGCCAAAAGTACATTTCGCTAGTAAGAATCACACTGCGTTTCATAGTAGACCTACTCCAGCCCCCTCCCAGAATCCAGCGAAGTTCAAACTCAGCGGCTAGAGAAGAAAACGACTGGTACTCTTTTTGCCTGGGGTTCAACCACAATCTCCGGGGTGATCGACTGGCGATGAGCTTAACGAGCCCTGATAGAAGGTCCTGCTGCGCAACTCGCCGGTAAAGAGGGGCTGGGACATGAGCTTCGTGATCACCTGGGACGGTGTGACTCGCTTGAAGTGCATGTTGTAGCAGGAACAGGCGATGCTTTTAGCTATGAAGAAATCGCTGGAATCGTTCTGACTCTGATTCAATGCGACTCCGCTTGTAATTCGTCATCTCGGCTGTCGCCCGAAGCGGGCCCAAACGATCCTAAACATCTGATTTCCTCATAAGGTAAACTACCTACCAAAACCGTAGCACTCAGGCAGGGAGCCTTGAAGTGTAGTTCACAATTCCAAACGAAACACGCGTGAAGAAACGCAAAGCCACAAATGCAAGATCGAGATACGATGCCAATGTATCACAACAGTATCTATGGCATCATCGTCGTCAAGCTTTTCTTTCGTCTTTGTTCGGCTGGACGCCCTTGAGAATAACATACCTCATCTGGATTTGTCACCATCAGCACCATGGCGACTCGAGAACTCACTGCTGCCGCCGTCAGCATCGTCATCATCAGCAGCGGCACAGCCGCCATCGCCCCCGGGACCGGACGCGCTGATTGCGGCCCGGGCAGCTCGGGACGCATGGGGATCGCAGGCGAGCTGGGGCAGGCAAGGCAAGGTCGCAGCCACCTTGGAGCGCTATGAGAGAGGGCCGCAAAATACTGAGATTGCTAAGTCGGCACAAGAAAGACAGGGCCGTTTGTCATGAGTAACAGGAAATGAGGACGTAACAAAGGGCCCGGCTCTCTCTCTGCTGTGCTGCGGATTCTGGTTAGCCGGGTAGCAGCTGCTGCTGCAGCTGTCAGTCTGTCTCCCAGCTCAGGCACCCGAGAACTGAAACCGAACATCGCCACAACCAAACCTGTCTGGTGCTTAGTCGGGAATGGGGGAATGGATCCCTGTAGTAGTCCCCATAGAATCCCCAATTACAGTCCCAACAGCCCATTCCCCCCTTCCCCTCACTACGTACTCGACAGAAACCTCCACTTCTCCGTCCAAGCTTCCACGGCCGCCCACAGCACTGGAAGAGCCTCTCCGCCGGCAGCTTCCATCTGCTCACAGATCCGATCCTGGGAGAGTTTGGGCGTTTGGGGTATCTAAAAGGGATCCATAGAAGTACCTTAAGGGGATCTATAAAGGCTCCTTAAAGGGATGTATAAGGGTTCTACAAGGGGTTTAGGGTTTGGGGTTTCGACTCACACAACTTGCGCAGGGCAGGGACGGTTTAGGGTTTAGGGTGGCGATGAGATGTAAGTGAAGGAAGGCCGCGCTGCAGGTATGCTCTGTGCCTCTGGCATTTCTCGAAATCGTCGCAACTGAATGAAAAAAAGCCGGAGTATTCCGGGACATAATTGCAGTCTGGGTTTTCAGTCGCTGACGATGGTACAGGGAACTACCCAGAGAGCCCAATACCCCGTAATAAAGAAAATGGCTTAAATTATATAGGGCTTCATATTATGATTTAAGGTATATTCCTTAATTAATTGGTATTGGGCTCTCTGGGAACTAAAGGCTTAAATGCAGTCTGAGCTTCTGCACCCTCAGCCGTTTTGAGAGTCTCAACCAGCGCACCCTCCTTCCTGACCGGAAGCCAGACATGCGGATGTTTTTCTCTCTGGCACTTAGGCTCCAGTGATGCAACCTCATAACTTGGGAGTTTCCGAAAATAGGGGACCCTTATATAGCACCCTAAATAGCAGGATCCTTATTATAGGGGCCCCAAACTAATCTACCCCTCATCTTCGGAAACTCTCACCAGGAGAAGCCCAAAATGTCTCAACGTCGGTAGGGTCTACCGTAACTTCTTCAATCCGCTCTGTCGACCGACTTTGGCCCGCCCCCCTCGGAGCTCCTTTCAGTCTCCTTCTCCCGCGACCGGCGCCGGACCAGAAGGTGCGGTAAGACTCCCTCGAGCCTCAAAACGCAACAGCTTGTGGTTGAATGTTTTTTTTTCAACTATGTTGGGTTTAGGGACTCAAAGAGCAACAGCTTCAGCAGCCTCGGGCTCCAAGACGTAGAGTGTTTTGCCCCGGGCTTCCCATGAGGTGCTCCGGTGAGTGTGCTGCAAAGAGGTTTATAGACTTAAGCGCGATTGCGGGCAATGTATAAGAAGCCCTGGATCCTTTATTGGGGTTCTTCCTATACATCCTAATATATATATATATATATATATATATATATATGGTATCCCCCCCCGAGTTATCCACCAGTTTTGGTGTAAATCCTGTGCAATCTGCCCCTGACCCCTCCCCCTCGCTTATCTACCGACTCAAAAGACAAGTACGTGTGTACTCTGAACGTGTGCAGTACCAAAACAATACAACAGATGTTAGTGTACATGCCTGCGCACCTGTCTAGGGAAGTGAGAGCGCTCCCGATGCATCCCGAGTATTGAACTTCAATCCCGGGGATTGAACTTCAATACTCCCGGATCCAAGATTCAAGATTCAAGATTCCAGGACAAAGTTTCCCCAGGATCTTGAATCTTGAATCTTGGATCCGGGGGTATTGAAGTTCAATCCTCGGGATTGAACTTCAATACTCCGGACTGAAAGTCAAACCCTACATACACAGTCCTGTCTCAACCATGTAGTAACTGCCGCCGCAACAACAACATCAAGACTGCAATAATATTGGGTAGTTCGCTACATATACACAAGCATGACCTTTTGCATTTGCGTCAGATACAAATGGATACGGAGTCGCCACCTACACAACACAATGCTGAGCCGATGATCTCCATACACAGATGTATATACACGCGTATAGGCACATTCCAGATAGCATTGAATGCACATGTACGTGTCCACGGAGTCTAAACACCTTCTCAAGAAGATTCCTAGAACCACATGCTCTACCTAAGTCAGTAATATTTTCATTGAGGTGTTTGCCCAGTTTGCATAACATGCATATTTACACATCTGCATCGGAGTTGTTGTGCGCGTGTCGCACGTGAGACCTCGCGATATTGCACAATCATGATGCAACAGCAAGAAGTTCGCATTTGGGAAGTTAGGACGGCTAAGATGAGACAGTACAGAAAAAGACGAGCTGCGTGTATGCATATGTACCATGGATGGCTCCCATAGTAATCTGGTAGAGCCAAATGCTTTTAGAACGTGCTTGTCCAGTTTACCTGGAATGCATATGTATTTAGGAGTTCGTGTGTGGGTGTCGCGAGACCTGGTGATATACAAAAGCTCGCATTTGGGAAGCTAGGATGGCTCAGATGAGACAAAAACACAGAAAAAACAGGAAGCTGCATATATGCATATGTACCATGGGCGGCCCCCCATAGTAATCTCGTGCGACGGCGCCTCAACGTGTTTTGGCATTCCTTGTGTTTCGATTTGGGGTGTATGTTTACTGAAATCGTCTACATTGCATATTTGGTGCCAATTATGGGTTGCCGCAATACTATATAAACGTACACATACACATGGAGTAGCAACCACAAAAGTGACTGTCGAATGAATTCAAGTCAAGGGCATTTGGCCCAATATTTCCGTTCTAGCAGGGGGGGTAGTCCTGAGTTTTGACAGATCCAAGAAGAGAACTCGATGTGTCTTTGCAAGGGTCCATGCAACTACACAAGAAAGGGTTTTGGTGGGATTCTATCAGGGCTTTATCAGGGTTTTGTAATGGATTGAGTGAGAAGGTTTCTGCAGAGATCTATAAGGGCTCCACAAACGATTTCTTTATGGTTTCTATGAGAAACCTATAAGTAGTGTCGACTTTGGTTGTAAAAGGGTTGCTGAAAGGCAATATTAGAGCTACTGTATATACGATACGTACATGTACATGGACCTTTAGTGTTGTTTCAGAAGACCACGGGCCTCAATATAGAAGCCACAAGTAGTAGGATCCTTATCATAAGGACCCTTTAAGAAGGTGCGTTTGCATGTTAAGAAACCTCCAACTAGTTCTATGAAGGCGGCTCACCAGTACAAAACGCCTACCGTGAGGAGCCTTTCTATCGCATTCTTGAAGGTCAGTTCGTATCTGAAAACCCTGATCTTTCGGAGGGGGGGAGGGTAACATATATGGTACTGCCCTCAAAGAGCAAGGTTCCTTTACAATCCTACATTCAATAAATCCCTGTCTATGGTCTTTGGGGATTTTGGGAGGCATGGTACCGATCCCAATCCCCTCGGCGCAGCCCGGGCAATGGGCCAATTTGGTCATTTCCACCCAAAAAGGGTGGATAACCCAGGGGGGGTAGCATATATATATATATATATATATGCTCACCCCCCCCCCCCAAGATCCACGCCTGCCCTGCCCAGGTACTGGCCTCAGCCTTCATCGAGCCACCCAGAGCGCAGTACATCAACAAGATCTTGCTCTACCTGAACCTTCGTAGCTGAGTAGGTATTCTTTAACCTTTGTGGGGTTTACATAATCCTACCTACCTTAAGTGAAAAGGTTAACCCTTTTTGGGCTAGGGTACTCAGCCCCCAAGGAACAAGGAGATGGAGGTAGTGTGGAATCTCAAGACCATTCATTGTGCGACTTACCGTCAACCCTAAACCTTAATCCCAAACTATCCTTCCAAATCGATACCCTAAATCGAACACGCTGTGATGCGGCTCAGAGTGGCCCCGTCTGAAAGTAAGAGTAGAAAGAGAGAACTAGCGCAACATGCCGTTCTACAATACCATGTGGAAGATGCATCTGGCACGGGCGTTTCCAGTGGACGTGCTTGAAGCAATCATCGAGTTCGCGAAGAGATGCTGTGCTATCATATCAAGTTTTTTGTTGCATGTACGGACCGGAACACAAGCTCTTCTGATTTTGGATCACAAATCCTGTCGAGATCCTCCGCTTGGGCCCGTGCCGTCGGCACCAGTGGACTGGGAAGCGCATATCGATACACTTCCAAACGGCACTTGGCTGTTTACTCCTTTTTTGTTTATATAGCTCTTTAGGCTCACGTATATTATGCTCATAACGCAGATGCAAGGAGATCGGGTCATGCAGTACCGCGAATTGGTCTACAAAGTAGCCCGTGGCGGTGATCAGCTTCTGAGTGAGGAAGACATGTTCGCCCTATCCCACTAAGTGGGACAAGCGTCGATTCTCACAGAACTGGCTGCAAGTATGGAAAACATGCGGAAGTGCATGCACTTCTGTGTTTTGCTTCCCAGTTCAATTAAAGCGGTCACGCCTCCGTCGTCTCGTAGTTGATTGCGTGTTCATAAGCATATCTTGGTATATGCAACATTTTCTTCTGCCACACAGAACAAACAAAAAATCCTCGCATTTAGTATGGAGCATCAAGCACACAATCCTTGCATGTAGTGTGGAGCATCGACGCAAAAATCCTCGCATCAAGTATGGAGCATCAGCAAAAGTCTTCGCATTCAGTGTGGAGCATGGAACAGTAATCTCATCCCGACATCTTGCCGCAAGCAATGCCGACGTTATTTCATGAACTGTCGGAGAGAAAACCAAACTGCAGCCTGCGCCTCGAGCACCGATTCTTACAGCAATCTTCGCCCTTTGCCCTTTCTCATTGACGCCATGGCCAGCT